CCCTCCAAGGAAAGGTCATCAGAAAGCAACAACGTCATTGTTTCCAAGAGGCTCGAGTCGCCAACGTCCTGGCGTCAAACGAAGACGGGTGGCTAGCGTGAGCGGAAGAAGCATGCGAGCGAGTGAGATACACCAGCGTCACGCTGTTTCCACGCCGTTGGCTGCCGACGCGGCTTCTGTGGTGGTGTTAGCTAGCTCGTACGGCGCACCGGTGCCTGGCAGTCCTCCTCGTTCTTGTGATGTGCACATCCACAAGGGTACGTTGCCGTGGAACAGACTTGTGTCATCCCAGCACGCTGCATAGAACCTCGCGCCCTCATCTGGGGAGTGCTACAACTCAGCGCTGAACGCTGGTGCGTGAAAGGCCGGTGGCAACATGGACCAATCCTTGTCTCTACCGCCAGTCCATTAGCGTAATGCACGTTTACAACCTAAACCACAGTCCTGGCGTTGATCGTCCTGTTGCAGAGACGACCTCAGATCAGAGCGCAACAAATCACCCAACCTACCCCCAACCACACGAAGCATCCTGATTCAGCAGAGCTCTACGACGCAGAGCCGCCAGTGCCCTCGTAAGAAGAGGGGTGCCTCCAAAAGCAGGACATATAGGGAGTCTCGATTATCAACGCCTGCACCACACATGCGCAGCTTGGGCTCGGGGATTTATGGCGAACCGTCGCCATCAACTTGCAAGACGCGCAACAAGTTGGGCTACTGTCGGAAGTCGGTAGCGTGCGGTAGGTGGATGGAGAGGATCTCTGTGAGCCTTCGAGAAGGACTGCGCTGACGGCCTCGATTGCTGCAGGACATTGCCGAAAGAGAAAGATCCGGTGTCTTACTGTTCCGGACCACGCACAAGGTCGATGTTCGAGCTGCGTTCGATTGGGAAGAGAATGCGTCTTCTATCCCGTGGAACGCAAAACCGACACGGAACGTCCTTCCAGCGCCGCAGAAGACTTGGGCGCAGGTTCACGAACAATACGAGTACAACAGGCAGCCAACCCCCATCCGGCTCCAAGAGAAATGCATTGGCTCTCAACCACTGACTGCCTTTGCCTGCCAATGATCGCCCAAAGTTCATCCCTGCTCTCAGTCTGTTGCCAACAGTATCCACAGAGAGCAAATTGCACAGACAGGAGCGAACAAGGTCTTGTGGGTGGAGACGGTCCAGTCACGACGAGCACCAGCTCCATGACTGCAACCACTGGTTACCCAGAGAACGATACATGGGGCCAGCAACCACCGGTCCAACCACCGACTCAACCGATGTTCTCCAGCGAAGGACTACCGCACCAGCATCCAGGCTGCGGCATTCATTTTCACGACTATGCACAACGGGCCCGTCCATATCCCTATCCCACAAGCACGAACGCGAACGAGCAAGCATTGCGCAATGCTGCTATGGGCGGTCGAACGACAGTGCCCCTCTCATTTCCGATGCCTCTCACATCACCGATGCCCCTCACATCACCGATGCCCTACCCGCATCAAGCCTATGCGCTGGCCTGGGACCAGTGTTGCTAATAGTATGACAATAAAGTAATATACTACAATACATATCATATAATATGCATTTTCTAATATTGTACAAATACAATATGTGGGTTGTAATATTGTGACAATACAATATAAGGATGTCTATATTAGCAATATATTGTCTATATTAGGTTGCCTATTGTCGGCAAATTGCACTTCTTTGTTGACGACTAAGCCCGACACGTGATCAAGCGGGGAAGAAACGCGGGGAAGAAACGCGTGAGGGAAGGTCGAAGCGCGTTAACTTCGCCAACTGGCGGTCGTCTGCGAACATCAGCGCGTTCCTCACCTCTGCCCACCTTTATCACACCACAAGACCCAGAGGTTACCGCCATGCCTCAACAACGCCTTCCTTTTGTACAAACGTCGCAACAAAGAGGTTCGTCAGTATCAGGCAGTCTTTTGGAGGTTTCTAGCCAGCAATTCTATGACCTAGAAGAGTGCGAAACCTCTAAAGGCCAACCAACGCGTCCTCGCACAGCATCTTTAGTCTCCTCTACCAAGCCACGAACATCATGGGTCTTCTCTCATATGCCAGACGAGGACATAGAGACGAGATATTACAATGAACGGACTAGAAAAGAAGAGTGGCGCTGTAAGCATTGTAACAGAACTTATGCCTGTTCTGGGGGTACTGCGGCTCCTGCAAAGCATCTAATGGACCGTCCTCCTGACGGTCACGGCCTTCCAAGAGGCGCCCCCCGAACGTGTAAAGTTGCAAATATACGAACTATTCTCGAACAAGCTCGTGTTTCGGCAGCAGAAAATCCCCGAAAACGTCGTCGTCTCAACGATCAATTCGGAGACTCGATCGAACCTGATCAGCTCGAAGTGCTGTACGTCAGGTTTCTTACGGCCTGTTCTCTCCCCTTTCGGCTTGTGGAATGCCCTGAGTTCCGAGCATTCCTAGCCTACCTCAATGACGATATCGATACTTGGCTTCCAGATACACACGAGACCATCAAGAAATGGATTATGCGGCAGTATGGAAGTCATAAGAGAAGGTCAAGCAACGTATACAGTCAGCAAAGTCAAGGATTCACATCAGCTGCGACCTTTGGACTTCCCCCAACTCCTTGGCCATCCTAGGAGCAGTCGCTCATTTTGTTACGGAAGACGGTCAGCTGGAACACTGTGTCTTAGCCTTGAAAGATATCGACAGTGAACATGATGGTGAGAACCTTGCAGCGGCAGTTATGGAAGTGGTTGAAGACTGGGGCTTTGCTTCAAAACTTGGATATTTCGTCATGGACAATGCGGGCAATAACGATACAATGATGAGATCCCTTTCTCTTCGTCAGTACGACGTAGTGTCTCTTCTGGTTAAACCTGACTTTCACAGGCCTTCTCCGCCGATTTGATATTAAGTACGATCCCAAATCTCACCGACTTCGCTGCCAAGGCCATATTATCAACCTCGCCGCTAAAGCTTTCATCTTCGTTACCGACAATGAGAACCTCGAAGACGACGATCCAGGCACATATAATGTGACACTGAAACAGATCGAGAACTGGCGGCAAAAAGGCCCACTTGGCAAGCTTCATAACTTCGTCGTTTTCATCCAACGAAGTGTTCAGCGCAGTCAAAAATTCCTGGCCATTAGCTATAACCGCAAGCTTACGCGAGACAACAGCACGAGGTGGAGTTCGTGGTATATCATGCTACAAGCCGCTTTGGATCTCAGACACGCAATCGATGGCTATTTTGACAAATGGGTGGAAGCAGATTGTGTTGGAGATGAGCTCTCTTCGGAGGACTGGGTCGTACTCGAGAAGATCAAGTCATTTTTAGAGAAGCTAAAAATGGCTATCAAGGCTCTCGAATCATCGTTTGCGACACTCGACAACGTTCTCTTGGCTATGGACTTCATCTTGGCCCAATTCGAAGCAGGGAAGGAGGCACATAAGGACGATCCTATGATGGCGCTGATGTATAACTCGGGTTGGGCGAAACTGGACAAGTACTATTGCCTTACCGACGAATCGCCAGCGTACGTTGCGGCAATTGTGCTCCATCCTTCACATAAATGGCACTACATACAAGAGAATTGGAAGAAGGAGTGGGTTGTATCGTCGAAGAAGTTAATCGAGACACTTTGGGACGAATACAGACCTGTTGAGCCGCCTCTTCCTCGACCCGAGGTGCCGTCGACGACTACGAACGAGTTCTTGAATTGGAGGAACAGGCCTCTACAACCAACGCGTCTCATCGACGAATACGAGCGTTATTGTAAGTCTGAGCAGGTCTACGGTTTCACAAGCGCACTCGCCTGGTGGCTAGAGGATACACAACAAAAGAACTATCCAAACTTGAGCAAAATGGCTGTGGACATACTATCAATTCCTGCAATGTCTTCCGAACCTGAACGACTCTTTTCTGGGGCAAAAATAACCATTACAGATCGTCGAAATCGACTTGGGAGTGATGTTATTGAAGCATTAGAGTGCCTAAAGTCATGGTTTGGGTTACGAGAATTTGAAGGTGACGATAATGTAGCCGTCGCAGTAGAAGGATGAGGGATATATGGGATGTATTGTAACACTGACAGTATATTGGGTTCTTGGCAATACGGTACAATATCAATCAGCTCTATATTGGGTAATACAATACTTACCTGCCCACAATACAATAATATTGTTAGGGTGTCATATTGCCAATATACGTATTGTTTATATTATTAGCAACACTGGGAACATCGTGACATGTAGATTCTGGGTGCGCTAGCTAGCACCCAGATTCTGTACAGCTGATTAGAGTGAGGCACGACTCTTAGCGTTCCTCGCTAGCCAGTGCTGTAACAAAGCTACTATTTTTCATTAGTAAGGTGAGGACTATTTTCCACACCTCATAACATCACATGTTGATCTATTATGCCAGCATTACGTTATCGCTACTGCATATGTTGTACAACTCTCGCTCCTGAAGTTAGCTGTTTCGGGATCCCACTGATTCCTAATCAATGCACCATCAGGGTCCAATCACCCCACCAAAGATCTTCACACATTGTACCCCGAAGCTGTACTGTTTGTGCCGCGTCGGCTGTCAGCCAAGCCAGCCAACCGGCCCTAGCTACGGAGAAAACGCGGTTGAAACCGAGTAGGATGTAACCAATGAACCAACCAACCTGAAGCTATCCTGCCTCAGAGATAGTCTCTGCTTACACGTCAATCACTAAGCCATCCTTTAGATCACTAAGCCGTCCTTTAGATCACTAAACCATCTTTTAGATCACTAAACCATCTTTTAGATCACTAAGCCATCTTCTAGATCAGTAAGCTACTGATAAGTGGTAGAAACAGGGACGATTCGCATTCCACTTATCACTTGAATATCAGCTCAGAAAGATATAAACCCTCGATTGATCAGACTCGCTTCTGGAACTATACTGGTTCTTAGACCCATTTGCTCTTACTAAAATCCCTTGCAGCCTATTTTTCCACTCCATTTTGTCAGTCCGCTCGAGATGGCATCCAGAGGCATCGATGTCCATCCTAAGGGCTACCACCCCTCCTCCCTTACCCGAACAATTTTTGATATTATCATCATCGGTGCAGGTCCTGTCGCCAACTTCGCCGAAAACCGTCTTGCACGGGCCGGACTTAGCGTTGCCGTGGTTCAACATGAACTATACGGCGGCGAGTGCCACTTCTTTGCATGCGTTCCATCCAAAGCACTTCTTCGGCCTGTTGAAGCTCTCGAAGCGGCAAAAGCAGTTGGCGGCACTCGAGAGGCAATCGGCAAGAAAAAACTTGACGTTGATGCTATATTCGAGAGAAGAGATAGGATCGTCGATTCGTGGGATGATAACAACTGGATTTCCATTTCTAATGGGCCTAGTGGCGCCACACTTGTACGTGGCTTTGCACGTATTGCTGGCGTGAAGAAAGTTAGCATTCAGCCGCATGGCGAGGAGCAGAGATATCTTCTTGATGCGAATATTGCAGTCATTGTTGCAACGGGTTCTTCGCATGTTGTGCCTTCGATTCCGGGTATCGAGAATCTGGAAGAAGGGAAGGAACTATGGATCAACCGCGACGCAGTTGCCGCGAATACGGTCCCTGAACACTTAATTATTCTCGGTGCCGGACCTGTAGGATGTGAAATGGCGACCTTTTATTCTGCCGTTGGCTCTCAGGTGGTGCTGGTTTCATCCACTGCGGAAATCTTGCCTAAGATTGAGCCGCAGGCCGCGAGTATTGTGCGTAAGAGCTTGGAGGCAAATGGCGTTCGTGTGAAGCTCTCATTGCGCGTTTCCAAAATTGAGAAACACGCCCCTAGCTCATTGAGTGCCACGCTATCCAACGGGGAAACGATTTCGGGATCCGTGATTCTCAACGCGACAGGACGAAGGCCAAGAACCTACGACCAGTGTGTCCATCAATCAAGTAAGTTACTTGCTTGACACCAGGGCTCCAAGCAACTGTGGGCCCTTTGGACCGACCGGTTCAACCGGTTGCTTTAACGTAAGCAGATCGTCTTGGAGTGATTGGCCAGTGTTGCGCGTCGGTGCTTAAGGTTCCAACTAATTTAGTCCGGCCCACTGTAGTGCTCTAGCGCCCTGGTGTCAAGCAAGTAACTTACTTGGTTGATGGACACACTGCCTACGACTTTGGACTCGAGAGCATTGGTCTCACTACCGAAGGCGAGCCGCTGGATACGGATGCAACTCTGGCGGTTCCGGTATCCGGAAGCACTGAAGATTGGCTATATGCCGTTGGGGATGTGAATGGTCTTGCTCCCACTACTCACATGGGTGTTTATCAGGCACGCATTGCCAGCAATGCCATTCTGTCCTCTGTCCAAAACAACCAACCGTCTATCAAGATCAATCCTCCTATTGGATTTACTGTGACAGAAGCGAAGCGCTTCCAAAACACGTTTCCTCAGGTCATCTTCACAGAACCTAACATCAGTACTGTTGGTCACACTTTTGCTTCAGCTCAGGCCGCAGGCCTGAAAGTCAGGGCTATAGACAGTGACTTCTCCATTCCAGGAGCATGGCTGTATGGAGATGGGCAGCCAGGCTGGGCTAGATGGGTAATTGAAGAAGAAACTGATAGATTGGTTGGTGCAACGTTCTGTTGCGTTGAGGGATCTGAGTTTGTGAATGCGAGTCAGGTGGCTATTTCGCAATGCCTTTCCTTGAGAGAAATGGTACATGTAGTCCCTCCATTTCCTACCCGGGGTGAAATCTGGTCTTACCTACTTAATGCTGCTGGGTATTAGATATTAGCATATCATTACCTAATAACAGGACGTACTCCGAAGTGCGGGGCACGGTAGGATTAACTTGCCATTCTCTCTCTAGTCCGCCTCTCGTATGTGATCTCTTAGGGCCTGTTCGGTCCCCAGTTTCAGTTTCAGTTCGGTTAACGCGGAGGTGGCTTTTTAAGCAGCTGTTACTGCTAAAGCGAGCTATACCTAATAAGTCGTGAATCTGGAGGCCGTGTTCGGTAGCGTTTTTCCAGTTTCAGTTCGCTAGTACGCTGACGCCTGCTCGTGCTGCCATCCTTGTTGGCATAATACTCGAAATCGCGATATGGGGGACCAAATATCACCATCGCAAGCGCAGATGTACACTCACCGTGCCGGGGAGTCGCTTTCTATAGCGTCGTCGCCCGCACCAACTCAACTCAGCTGGCAATCGCCATCGTCGCCCGCGCCCACGTCCGCGCCCGCCTCTGTAGTACTAATATTGCCCCCACTACTACCGTCGTCGATTGTTAGTGTTGTAAATTAAGCCGTGCGCGTAGTATAGTCGAATAGGATAGAGAAGGCGCTAGTAGTTACACTTTGGAGGCTGTTGACGCGGAGTACCGTGCCCGTGCACTCAACGAGCCAGTTCGGCCGACGAGCCACCCGAACAACAACAGGACTCCAGAAAAATGAGGCTGTACAGCCACCCACAAAAGCGATCATCGCGAGATTTCTTGGTGTACTAATATATAGATGTATGCGAAACTTTCTATCTACTCAGAATATTTTTTAGGTGGTCGTGCTGAGCGTGTGCGGGTGGACTTGGTTGGAGGAGGCGGCGGCTCAGGTGCAGCCTCAGGCTCAGTTCAAACACCAACAACAAGACGACGCTTTGTCAGATTATTTGCAGGTTTGTGTGAGGCTTTTCGCTTAGGCTTATTAGGTGTATCGTGAGATTTTTTGTGAAGTTGCAGCGTCGCGTTGCTGCTTTTTGAGAGCCCTCGCGGCAGCTAGTTCCTTAGCCCGCGCTTTCTTCGCCTTGCGCCTCTCCTTAGCGGCTTCTTGCCGAGCCACCTTTGCAGCTTCAGCTTGCTTCTTTTTGTATAAGCTTGCCGCCGCTTTCAGCCCTCTATCGTGAGTTTTCTGGAGTCGTTCTCGCTTAGCTTTGTTCCGTTTCACGGCCTCGCGCGCGTTAGCTTCGCGGAGCTTCCTTGGAAACCAGAAAACTCCAGCACTGTGGTACTCCTCGCGCTGCTGAAGGTCTAGAGTATTGCGCTTCTTCTTGTGCTTCTTCTTGGTGTTAAGCGCGTCTCGTAAACCAGAGTTTTCCTCGCGAAGAAGCTTGTTGTGGACCTGTAGCGACTCAACTCTCTCCAGCAGCTCCCTGGCTCTAACTTTGGCCTTATCCTCAACCAGTTCTTCAAGAAAATAGGTGATCTTCTTGCGAGTATCGCTGCCGCTGCTGTGTTCAAGTTCTAAGTCGTGATCTTGTCGCGAAGTGCGGTTTTTGAAGCGCTTTAGTACAGCGTCCGCATCTATTGGCTACACCCCTGTAGCTTGAAAACTCTTCTTTATCGTCGCTGGCTTTATCGTAGAGCTCCATGCCGCCGAGAAGTTTGTAAAGAAAGCTTGTTTCGCGCTTACTAGGTTTCCTTGCGATTGCTGGAGCTGGCGGTTAAGCTCTATAGTGTAGTACTTCGCGAGCGGCGAGAACAGCACTACGTTAAGCGGCTGAAGGCTGTGAGTTGAGTGCGGGGGAAAGATAGCAAGCAGGATTTAATTGGCGTCGCAAAAGTCGATTAAATCAGCGGTAATGTAGCTGCTGGGGCCGTCAAGAATTAGAAGTCGCCATCCGCGTTGCGCTTTGGCTGTAGTATAGCGGTTGAACACCTGTTCGAGCCAGGCAAGCCTGAGATTATTGTTCGACCAGGCTGTGGGCGAGTTAGAGAAGAAAACCTAATGTTTGCCAACCTCTACGTTGTCAACCCAGCTCGATTGAATCCCGGATGTCCCCTAGTAAACGAGGGCGGGCGGTAGTGCTTCTCTAGAAGCGCATACGCAAGTAATAAGCGTTACCTATTCTCTATTACTATCTTTAATCGCTTTAGTACTCTCTTTTGACTGCTAAGCTGCCTTACTAAAGACTTGTTTTAAGCGTGAGGCGATACTGACAAAGAAGCCCTTCTTATCTATATTGTACGTATTGCGCTCGTCAACCTCGTACTTGCGCATCTTGGAGTGCAGTAGATTAAAGTATGCTGCGTATCTTACTCTACTGTTGGCGTTGAAGCGCTTGCGATCGATACTGGTGCTCTATTTGGTGGTGAGCTGGTCAGCGTGGCGGTTTAGAAACTGAGTAACCCAGCTTTCAGAGACCTCCCACTTCGCAACCGCGCTGGCGAAATTTGCTACTATCTCGCGCGTCGGTGGCAAGCCTCGCTCTGCACATTTTTCTATGTATCGTACAAGTTCTAACTCCTGTTGTGGGTTGAGTAACAGTCGCTCGCGCTGCTCCTCTTCACGCGGGCGCTGAAGACCTTGGTGTCGCCGCGACAGCGTCGTTCGGTCAACTCCAGTTTTTTTTGGCAACTTCGCGGTACGAAATTTCATCTCCTGGTTCACGCGATTCGATTTCTTTAATCGTTCTTGAATCGGGTCCATGGTGGTGGAGTTATGACGCGTTGAAGTTGGGACGATTATATTGTTATGATGTTCGGGTGGCTCGTCGGCCGAACTGACTCGTTGAGTGCACGGGCACGGTACCGTGTCCGTGCACCCAATGTGCACAATCAGTCAATGCGCGGTACGCGTCGCATACACCCTTTTTTGAGTACTTACTGCACAACGCCACAATGGGCCTAAAAGAAGCGCTTGCAGAGGCAGATACTTTCGAACGCCAAGAAGATATTCCGTGGTCGCAATTGTCCACAAAGCATGATGTGGTGCGGTCAACGTTGACGCGACGATGGCGAGGCAACACGCGTTCCCGTGAAGAGGCAGGTTTGGCACGCCGCAAACTGCAACCACCACAGGAGGCAGAGCTTGTCAAGTACATAGATAAACTCTCAGAAGAACACTTACCACCTACAAGGGAGATGGTGCAAACTTACGCATCAGATGTTGCTCAGATACCCGTCTCCGACGCCTGGGTTGGCCGCTTTGTCCACCGTAATGACGATCAGCTCACCTCTCAATGGTCAACGTCTATGGACCGCGATCGTCACAACGCTGATTCTGGTGAAAAGTACACACGTTACTTTGAGCTTCTGCACGAGAAGATACAGTTCTACGACATCCTGCCGGAGAACACTTACAATATGGACGAGAAAGGCTTTATGATTGGAGCTGTTGGTAGACAGAAGAGGATCTTTAGCAAGAGGCTGTTCAAGAAGAAGCAGTTTAAGCAGATGCTACAGGATGGCAATCGCGAGTGGATAAGCTTGTTAGCGTGTGTTTGCGCCGATGGTACAGCGTTGCCGCCGGCTCTTATCTATGCGGCTGACTCCAACAACATACAATCAACCTGGGTGGAGGACGTGAAGGTAGGAGAACATATGGCCTTCTTCGGAGTATCAGGCAGTGGCTGGTCGAACGATAGTCTTGGTCTTGCCTGGCTTCAGCAGGTGTTTGAGCGCTTCACGGCACCGAAAGCTCGAAGAAAGTACCGCCTGTTGCTTGTGGATGGCCATGGGAGCCACCTAACAGAAGAATTTCTAGAGTATTGCCACAGGCATAAGATACTATTGGGTATCTATCCACCTCATAGCACCCACACGCTGCAGCCGCTCGATGTGGTGATGTTTAAGCCTCTTAGCACAGCATACTCAAAGAAGCTAGCAACACGCCTTCACAAGCATCAAGGCTTAGTCCTTATAACTAAGGCTGACTTCTTTAGCCTGTTCTGGGATGCTTGGGTGAGCAGCTTTACTGCGAAGAACATCTTCAGCTCGTTCAAGGCAACAGGTGTACACCCCTTCAACCCCGACATTATACTCGATCGCTTCACCAACGACGACTCAGACACCTCTAGCAACGCGTCAGAGGAAGCTCCTACATATGGCGGTGAGGCATGGCAAAAACTAAATACAGTTATAAAACGCGCGTTAGGTGGTGCCTCAGAAAAGGACGCATCTACTATTCAGCAATCGCTCCACCACATGGCTATACAGAACACCCTCCTGCAGAGCGAAAATGAGGGTTTGCTTGACGCTCTTACTGTCAAGAAAAGGAGAGAGATAAAGGGCAAGCCTCTTGACCTGCTGCAACACTATGAGTACTGGTGCCCTTCAATGATGTGGACTCCTCGGTCATTTAGAGAAGCCAAAACCCGCATGAAGCTTGCAAGGGAGGAGAGAGAGGCAGATGAGAAGGAAAAGGCTAACATGAAGGAGCTTGTTAAGGCTAACAAGATATACAACGAAAAGATTGCGCAGGAGAAGCGTGATGCACGCGCGAGGGAGAAGGAAGAGCGCGACCGGCTGAAGGTTAAGAAGGCCAAGGAAGTTGCTGAACGCAAGGCAGAGAGAGAGCGCCAAAGGCAAGCTCGCGACCATCAGAAAACTATCCAAAAGCCGCCTACACGCAAGCGCAAGGCTCCACAACAAGCAGCACCAAGGAAGAAGCAGAAACGTAGTGCTAGAGATGATGTGGGTGGTGCCTCGCGCACGGCGCGTACTCCAACACCGCCACACCAAAGCAACACTCGCGGCCGCAAAATCCTCCGGCCAAGAAAGTATTGGTGAGAAAATTTGTCGCATAGGTCTATAGAGTACTCTGCTAAGTTGCCTTATAATAACTACTTATGTGTGTGGCTCTACAGCCTCAATTTTGTGTAGTCCGTTTTGGTGATGCGCGTGCATTGACTGACGGCGTGCATTGTGTGCACGGACATGGTATGAAGCGACGCTTGGCACGAGAACGGCCTCTCTCGTCACCTCATATTAGATAGGGAGCCCTGACTCCAGTTGCAGCCCTGGGATAGGGTCGCTCATTCAGGGTTTCTCGGAGGATTAAGGGCTATAGCCGTTAATCCTTTCGCCCATTAATGATAGGGTCTTAGCAAAGGTAGCAGCTCGCTCGAGGTAGCGGCTCGCCTGGGTTAACGTTATTCTTTTATTAACTGCGCGCTAAACATAGTCTCACCGCTGCACTTTCAACGCCCCGTGAAAACCTCATTCGTCGCTGCTTTTGGTGAAATCTTCGGAAAGAGGTGGCAGGTGTTTGGCCTAGGAAATAGCATTGCCCGGACGTTAGCCGCATCGGGGCGAGTTAAGACGTTCCTATATTGTACGACGATTCATTCAGTCCCGGAATCTGATATCGCATCACAGATTATCAAGGTGACAGAGTGGACGAGGAGCAGCTCGCTCGCAGACGTACATTTACAACTGTCAGTAGCATAATAGTTTAAGCTATTCATGGAGCTGATGTCGAAGTCCAATCTCGCATGTCACCAGCAACTGTATCCGTCGTCTCAACATGACTGAAAGACTGAGTCCACTCGTACGCTGCTCCGAAACAAACTGGGTCTTGCCAGTTACCACCTAAGTCTGCACCGTAGTCAAAACATGAAGGATTGGCGCTGAACTCTATCGTATTTTCCCATAATAACTGCGAACCTGAGTCATGGTAGCACAAACTGGAATCCCTCGCATTTGTAGGCGGATTCATTGAGACGTCGTCCATCGGATACATTCTCCCGCTCTCCCATTCCTGAGTCCTTGCCACAGCCGCTCGGTTGATCTTGATTTTACCGAAGAAAGGTATTATGCTCTCAAATCTCTCAGGAGCATCGCCGTTGCCTTCCCAAGCCATGCTGAGGTACTCCAGCAGTTGCGCTCCTTGACGGGCGATGGAACATTCAAGAAGCTGTTCTGTGCGCCTCAGCGTTTGGACACAAGTTCTCACAATAGCCCAGTCTCCCGCTGCCTGTGCGTAGTTGCGGAGGCCACCTTTGGACTCGGAAAAGATGCCGATAATGAGCGTAACCGCGGCGCTAAAAGCTTCAAAGTCCATGAGCTCGCAGATGATAGATTTGGTTCGGTGATCGTCACGTAACTGATGGTAAGCCTGGATGATGCTTCGTGATGCTGCCATAGTTGATATCCGACTGGGCAGGAATCTGGGCTCTGCGGTAGATTTCAGCATATACGGGAGATGGATGTGCTTCGACAGAAGGAAGTATTGCAGCATCGCAATCTGTATGTAATAGTGCATATCGACAGAAATCTCTTGGTCCGTCGTGGAGTGAAACCAGGAAGGGGGAAACAAATATTGTAGCTGTTGCAGTCGTCGGTCGAGCTCTACCGTTACTGCATAATCCGCCATGCCAAATTCTTGGTCCCTCTCGGCAACCGCGCCAGCCAAGAAGCTGCACTCATACAGGATCTGTTCGATGATGGACTCCCCACCAAGTTTGTTCCTGACTCCTGGATGCGTATTAGAAATAGCGCAGGGCAGTCCAAGAAGCAAAGACAAGTGTCGGTCAGACTGCCAAATCAATCGCCAAAGTTTCTTCTTGCGATCCGTAGACTGTTGGTCAATACGGTGCAAGCCAAGGAGTAAGGCTGCCTCCAGTGCGCTTCTTCCAGTGGTCCATGCCTTTCGTGGCTTGCCCGTGGTCACGCAGATCTTGAGCAAGAACATGCGTGACTCTAGTGCGTCAATGCTTCCCCCGTGCTCGGAGTCTATGGACAGCAATGTGGAGGCGATGCTGATGTAAGATTCGACCAGCGAGTGGACTCTGTCTGGTAACAGCGAGCGTGCTCGACATTGCTTCGCGAGCTGTTGGATGCACAGACAGAGAAACAAAAGGGCTTTTGCAACCAAGCTCGGGTTGAGAGAGGTTAACGCTGAGGAGATGAAGTCTTGAGCAATGTTTACCCGATCAGGCTGAAGGAAATCGGATGTGTCGCTGCCATAATAGCACAAAGGCCAAGTGAGCCAATATCGGTTGGTCTCTGAGAGTATCAACCGTAACGTTGGCTGGCTGGGGACAGAGTCCATGAGCAACCGGGTAGCGTCTTGCACACGTACATCCAAGCCAGCGGTAGGAACCGACTTGTGTGGCGACCCGTCGATACTCTGGATTAGCCTGGCATCTCTAAAGAGGTTAATCAGCGGTACACTCTCAAGATGCCCTATTCCCTCATCCGAAGGGTCGAGAGCGGCGTGGAGCTGTGCGCCATCCGAAGATGCTGTGGAGAGGTAGGAGGGAGACGAGTGAGAGTCCGGGAAAGAGCTCCTGCCCAACTGGGCGATATCAGGCAACTGACGGAATGCACCCCCGAGCTCTTCGGATCGTTGCAGAGAAACTGCAGGCCGTCGCTTAGGTTGTTGAGTTCTGCAAGGTGTGCCGTGGGTTGCGCAGCTCTCACATCCCTTGCGGTGGGGCAAGAATACGCAACGGACCTTTCGGCGTCGACACTCGGCGCAGCTTCGCGTTCCGAGACGCATGCGATTCGCAGGTGTGAGACTCATCTCACGCAGGTTGTCATTGTCGTACAGTGGTGAGTGAAGAAGATGGGACCGGTCCCGCTTGAGAAGGGCGTCAGCTTGCTGAGTAACACGTCCGAACTCGTCCGAACTCGTCCGACCGCCCAATAGCGAGCTGCATATTCGGCACGGATATCCTGTCCCGTTGACACGAAGAGTAAGTGCACTCGCATGAACTCGGCCGATTCCAATCGCCTGCTCAATGAATACAGTGCCTTGGCCGACTCTGGTATCGGATGCCGAGGTGAGCAGCAGACCGCTTTCGCTGTACAGGTCACTCAACTCCCGCATCGATAGCTTGCCTTTCGATGCACAAGCCAAGCAATGTCCGCGGAGATGCTTCCGACGAGTTCACACAGTACATTTTACAGGTTCTCTGCGGTTGCCCAACGGTAAACTCCTTGCTCCCTTTCCTTAGCGGTCGGCTTTGCTTCTATCGGCCGTCACACCAGTCCAGTGCACCCGCAAAAACCCGCCCTGACAAACTTAGTCATAGTCCGGCTTCCTCGAAGGTCATCCCAGGCAATGCCAGGTATAAGTGCTAGCTCTGTCCACAACTCACTACGATTCGCGCGTCGCATATTTACTCTCGCCAATACAACATGGGCAAGCACAGCACTCACCATGACCACAAAGACTGAAATTACTCTCTACACAGCGGCAACTCCAAATGGGATCAAGGTCCCAATTCTGCTTGCGGAGCTTGGACTGGAGTACAAGGTACGAGGTCATATCGGGCGAGGGCAGCTTGTCCAAGGGGCTCACACATGTACAGTTGCACCACATGAAACTGAGAGAGAATGAACAGAAGGAGCCGTGGTACCTTGACAACATTAACCCGAATGGCCGGATTCCGGCCATTACGGATTCGTACGATGGAAAGCAGATCCGTGTCTTTGAGAGCGGAGCCGTTATGGAGTACCTCATTGACCGCTACGACAAAGACCACAAAGTGTCGTATCCGAGGAATTCGCTCGAACATTGGGAGACAATAAGCTGGGTACGTGGACCTCCCGTAGGCGTCACTCGCTAACACTTCCGTCTAGCTCATGTGGCAGGTGGGTGGCTTGGGGCCCATGCAAGGACAGCTGGAGCATTTCAGAAGTCAGTCAACGAGAGATCGCTGGCTTTTCAGTGGCTAACAGCGCTTCCAGGATATGCAGCGGAGAAGATTGAGTACCCCATCAACCGCTACGATGCTGAGACCCGTCGCCTCTACCGCACGATGGATACGCACCTAGCCAAGTCTCCTCATGGATATCTGGTTGGTGACCGACTCACCATCGCCGATATTGCCTGCTGGGGTTGGGTTTCGTCTCATAGTAGGTGTTTCCCCCTCTTCTCAAAGATTTCAGGAAGCTAATCATGGTCGACCCAAGGCTCGGATGGCGTCGGCCTTGAGGAGTTCCCTCACCTGGAAAAGTGGCTGCTCAAGCTTCTAAAACGTCCTGGCTTTGAGAAAGGGCGCCATATACCGCAGCGTCATACAGCCTTTGATTAGGAACCAAGAACGGGTGTAGGTAAAGATGAATGTACGGGACTGCTTGGACGACAGGAGGGTTATGTCCATCTCAATCACATCATCTGGAGGGCATCTGTAGTGCTGGTCCCTAAAGGCTTATCGGCTGTTGCCTAGCCTCAAATTAGACCGGCACTCCAATTTAGCCACTTGCCTTACGCTGTTCCCACCGTTCGAAGCAGTGCCATTCACAATTATCGCGAGCAAGCGGCTCGATATTGGCGGAGCTTCTGTAGCTGCATGCGCTCGTCGTACTGCCGTTACTGAGACACTTTGAGAGATATACCCTTATCGCCGTTCACTAGCCTTGGTGTCAGTACGTCGGCTTGTTGCCGTGACCGCACAGACAGACTATTTCCCCTGGATGAGTAGGTTACTAAAGATGAGTAAGGTGTGTTGAGCGCAAGCCACTGAACCACTCCACGAAGCCTTTCCAGCAAGGCAGCGTACATGTGACTCATGATCAAAGAAAGATCGTAGCAAAGGTGAACCCAGGAGAACAATGGGAAGAACAGCAATCAAAGGTAGCTTCTCCTTCCAAATTCTGGTTGCACGTAACAAGCGAAACCCAACGTTCTTATACTCCTCACCTTCACGAGCGCCTCGGTCTAACCAACCCTTGATGGATCTCAGTGGAGCAGCTTGTCGCCAGTTCCCATTCTGATTGAATGATACATGCTAAACTAGCGTTCTCTGTATTCCTCGTCAATCTCTACCAGTGCCTCGATTCCTCCCTCCTCTACTATTTTCGTGTCCACGACAAATGTTGCAAGCAACTTGGCTGGCTCCGTCGCGCTATAGTTATCGCTGACCCTGTGGTGACAACCCGGGGCCTCGAAAAACGAGCCGCCTGCCCCAACCACAAAAGTCGGGTCGTCGTTCATCTTGTTCAGCAGAGTCCCTTCGAGGACCAGGCCCGAAACCGAGGCACCAGCATGTCGATGCGGCGGGGTCGAGGAATTTGGTGGAAACGTGACTATGAGCCCGACCGAGGACTTTCCAGGGCAGTTAGGTAGCCTGTGCTGAAACGCAAGCTCAGTAACTGGTCGCGGCCGGCTGGTATTATCGTATTAGCCGCAACAAGTCCTAAGTACTCTGCGTCCTGGCGAGTCTTACCGACGATCATACGGTGGTGGATCTGGCACGGTTGTTCTGGTTGCCATTGTATATATGCGTGGAGTAGGACTAGGATGGGCTCTGTTGGTATGTCTGCCTTCTCAGGAGCGAGCGTGTTGCTCGGTCGGGATCATCGCTCATGATAAAGTGTGATTGTTGTTTCGGTATGCAACTGGCATCGGAAGAGTCGGATTGGCCTTAGTAACGTTGCCGTCTACAGCCAACCACAGTATGATCAGGTAGAACTCCCCACAATCCTTATGCACGGGTCGTCTGTGTGTGTGTGTGTGTGGGGAAGGGGGGGGGCGGGTGTCCATGGCGGGTGCTTTGGAATCATTGACGATGCTGCGCGCTAGTGATGCAAGGTCTGGCGTCATCGGCTGTAAGCTAGCTGACCGGGGTGTTGATCACCCGGGGATGTTGATCACTCACAAATATCAGCACTCCCACACAAAACACGTGTTATCTCTCCACATACTCAACCAAAATGGCCGACCGTGAAGCAGCTATACGAGCAGCTATCAGCGATATCGATGCCGGTGTTTTCCTAAGTCAGAGGGCAGCTGCAAAGGCGTACAACATCCCGCAATCCACAATCTCAACGCGCATACGCGGCAGACAAAGCAACCAAGCCAGCCATGTATACCAGCAGCGGTTGACTCCAGAGCAGGAGGACTTCCTCGTACAATGGATACTCGAAGAAGACGCACGAGCTTTTCCTCCCTCCCATGCACGCGCACGAGAAATGGCGAACCGAATCCTCCGGATGAATGGAGACCACAGACCCGTAGGCAAGCATTGGATGGCTGCCTTTCTCAAGCGTAACCCACGCGTCGCATCTGTCGTAGGTCGAAAGATTGAGGCAGCTCGAGCTGAGGGAGCAAACCCAGCACAGATACGCGCGTTCCTGGAGCTCTTTGAGAGGACTCGTACGAGGCTAGGCATAAGGGCTGAGGATATATGGAATATGGATGAGACTGGGAAGGCTTTAGGTGTATGTGCTAACACCAGAGTGCTCGCATCTAGTCAGAAGAAGAAGGCTTACCATCAGTCCCCAGAGAACCGCGAGTGGGCATCAATAATCGAGTGCGTGTCGGCTACGGGCAAGAAACTACCCTGTTCGGTTATATTTAAAGGAAAGCACCTACAGAGCTCTTGGTTTCCTACGATAATTCCTAAATGGCTATTTACAACCTCAGAGAATGGCTGGACATCGAATGAGATAGGAGTTGAGTGGTTGCAGCGTGTATATCTGCCCGAGACAGCTCCATTTGACGGTAGCTGGAGGATGCTAATCCTAGATGGCCACAGCAGCCACATTAGCCTAGATTTCCTATGGGCTTGCAAACAGAACAAGGTCTATCTTCTGTTTCTACCTCCTCATTCTTCTCATGTCCTACAGCCTCTGGACCTCTCAGTATTCTCACTCGTGAAGAGATTCTATCGGCAGCAAATCCAGGCTCTCTCGTACCTTGACGACGCAGCGCGTGTTAAAAAAGAGCGTTTTATCACAGCTTATTATCACGCACGAGAGCGCGCAATTACTGAGAGAGTTATACGAGCAGGATGGGCTACTGCGGGTATCTGGCCATTCAATGTTGACCGGGTAGTCAACTCATCTCAGGTAACCCAGAGGCCTGTCACGCCGCCACGTCAGAATCAGCCTCAACCTACTAAGAGCTACTTCTCTACCCCTCACGGTCCTCGTGATCTTTTTATAGCTCGAAGAGAGCTTCACAGGAACGAGAGTGTTGGGCGTAAGACTCATCAGCTCCTTGAAAAAGCAGGCAAGGCACTTGCTACAGCAAATATACGCGCAGCACAGCTTGAAACAGAGAATAAAAGTCTCTATAGTCAACTTGAGGCTCTTAAGCCTCAACAGCCACGAAAGAAGGTTCGTGTTGACCCAAATCAACGCTTTGCAAATGTAGAGACAATCATGGTTGCCGTACAGGCGTCACAGCTTCTTGAGGCACAGCGCGATGTTAATGCTGAGGAAAAGGCTGCAGAAAATATAGCAGCTGAAACAGCAGCTCGAACGCTTCAGTCTATGTGTACAGAGTGGCAATTGTAGCTACGTTGAGAAGATAAACACGTGTTTTGTGTGGGAGTGCTGAGATTTGTGAGTGATCAACATCCCCGGGTGATCAACATCCCGGTTAGCTAGCTTAACCGAATTTCCCGTAGCTTACTATGGTTAACCTACCATGATTAGCTTACGATGGTTAGCTTACGATGGTGGCGATTACTGTGGATGTGTCACAGAAACTATGCATAAGCCTTCGTCAGCTCTTGCTGCTAGTCCTATTAGTGATGATGTTGGCCTTCGAACCACGAAGTCTAGCAATATCATGTAATGAGCTGGGTTCCGCCATGCAAGTGGCTTATATATCCGATTGTGGAGTGGTATCGTTAGTAAGAGCACCCGTGGGTCGAGTGAACTTGCCCACAAATCATTTCCCACCAGGCACGGATCGTCATGTCATCACTGAGATCCGGAGACTATCGTGAAGAGTTATTGAGTGCCGCGTCTTGCAACCGAAGTCTCCCGGTTATTGCTGTGACCGCTCACATGGATGCCATGACAACGCAACTGTAGGACGCCGGAGAGCCAGAAGCTATAAGTCTTGTTTGTCGCAATCCTGCTGCAACGCTAGGTCGACATCTTTACTTTCGGTATCTACCAAAGTCTCTGTTCTCACAGTTTCAAGTCTAACACCAAGTGTTACCATGCAAGCTGTACGCCATCATCCTCCCGGCGGTCCCGAGAAGCTGAAGATCGTCTGGGAAGATATACCAGAAGTCCGGGATGACGAAATCCTCATCAAAATACACGCCTGCAGCGTCATTTGGATGGAGCTCTACTGGGACATCCACAAGAGAGATGACGGCACATACAGGACCCCTATTCTCGGAGAGGATTACTCCGGTACTGTGGTGAAGGTAGGGTCGAAGGTTCCGCAGCACGACAGAGGTCTGCATTTCGGCACCGAGGTTATTTGCTTTATCAGCAAGGCATTTCCCACCAGCAGGAGCACCGATGGCGGCATGGCCGGCTATGCGAAAGTCCACTTTACCCATGCGATTCCCAAGCCTCGAAGCCTGAGCCTCACCGAGGCTGCGTCCATTCCGCTCTCGGCTCTTACCGCGTGGCAGGGCTTATTCGATCATGCGAAGATTACCGCTGGGCAGACTGTCCTGATTCCGGGCGCGGCTGGTCCTACAGCGATCTGGGCTGTGCAGATGGCCAAGATGGTTGGGGCTCGAGTCATTGGCACAGCGTCGTCCAAAGAGAGTTTCGAACTGCTCGAATCGTTCGGGGTGGACCGGATCCTGAACTATAAGGAGGTCGAGCTGGACTCTATTGACGAGATTGTGGATGTGGTGTTCGACACAGTGGGAGGCGATACAGCGAGGAAGGCCCGAAAACTAATCAAGAACGACGGCCTGCACCTTTACCTCGTGAGCCAGACCGGTCTCGAGATGAACAAGGAGCCCGGCCCGAAGGTGGACTACTTCATTGTGGATATGAATGCGGATCAGTTGGCGAAGATCGGGGACTTGATCGATCAGGGCAAACTGAGGCCGGTTGTCGACTCCGTCTTTGACTTCAAGGATGTAGCAAAGGCGTTCCAGAAGGGCGAGGGGGGCCACGCGCATGGGAAGATCTTGCTAAAGGGGCCACATGCATGAAATTCACCAGTTGGATCGCCAAACAAGCATACGCCGTCAGCAAAACACGGTATAGTGTGTATCAGTATGGGATCTTGTTTACTATGACAACTGTAAGGGTGCGATGGGTTGACCATAAGTGCGAGGTATAACAGTAATGAATTCGATAGAGAAGCTACACTACGCTTGCGCTGAGTCTATGTATCACGTAGTGCTAGGTTCGAGAAACTTCTAAGGGTCCGTGGAGCGCCGATGAAGCCCCGACAACGCTCCGAGGGTTGCAGCCTATCCCAACCAGCTATAACGAAGGCCACAGGCCAAGTACTACTAACCAAGGCTTCAGCCTCTTACAACAACAAAACTTTCGGAACCGTAATCCAAAAACTCAAGTAACAACGAAAGTGAGAACCGGGGGCTGAATGAGGCACGTAAGTCCAAAGCATGGTCCGGAACCGTACCAGGTAGGTACCGTCAGTCACGATGAGCAGTCGGATGGTGCGTCTTGTCTTCAAGACCTCTTAGTGATGATGGTTATATGCGCAAGAGAGAGCCTAAAGCTAAACTCGTCTGCATCTGACTCACAGTCAGAGAAAGATGCGGCAAAAGTGACGCTACGAGTGTACTGAGGAAAACAGCAACCTAGAATTAAATGCACGAAGGCGATATAAGGAACTTGAAGGGACGCGGCAGGCCGTCCGACCTAGTTGGAATCCAAGCGGCTATAAGAACTAACAGATGGGGGACGCATCCAAAGCAGTTACTCTGCGTTTGTATGCCATGCAAGTTTAACTGGTTGACATGGGTGAAAGCCGTGGTGCAAGACTCGCCAGCGGTTTCCTTCCGTCCCAAACTCGTTTCCAGTAGTGCATCTTGTCAAGGTACAGTCGATGGTGCTATACGCGTACATTTCTGCTTTGAAAAGCAGAGTTCTTTTAGACGACTCTCTCAGATGGTGGCGAAGTGGTGGGCGCCGGCTCAGGAGGGGCAGTGCTTTTCACCACAACGGCGAACAATTCTCCACGGGACGCCCTATAAGCAAGCATGTGAGACCCTTGAGATGCGGAGCAACGAACGTAAGATGTTCGCATGGCAGAGTGCGGCAAGGCACGGCGTTTTATCCTTACAAACGATGGTATTCATGGCGGGTGGTAACAGTGTGTCCATCAATCAAATAAGTTACTTGCTTGACACCAGGGCTCCAAGCAACTGTGGGCCCTTGAGACCGACCGGTTCAACCGGCTGCTTTAACGTAAGCAGATTGTCTTGAGATGATTGGTCAGTGTCGCTCGTCGGTGCTTAAGGTTCCAACTAATTTAGTCTGGCCCACTGTAGTGCTCTAGCGCCCTGGTGTCAAGCAAGTAACTTACTTGGTTGATGGACACACTGTGAACAACTGCTCCAGCCAGGCAAGCCCCACCTCGTCATTCGTCCAACCTGAAGGCGTTGCAGGAATAAATACTGAGTGTTTTCCTGGCTCAATATCCTCCATCCAGGAGCTTTGTATGGCGTTGTCCTTGCCTGTGAAAATGAGACCCAGAGGCAGAGCACTGCCATCGGCGCTGCCATCGGCGCAGACGCTCGCTAACAGCGTCACCCACTCTCCGTTGCCGTCCTGTAGCGACTGCCTGTTCTTCTGCTTCTCGTACAAGCGCTTGCTGAAGATCCTCTTGCTCCTAGCGACGAGACCGATGGCGAAGCCTTTCTCATCCTTGTTGTACGTGTTGGCCGCCCTGATGTTGTATTCTTCGATTTTGCTGTGCAGGAGGCTGAAATAGGCCCTGTACTTGCCGCTATTATCAGCCGCGTGGCGTACTTTGTCCATTGCAGTGGTCCATTTGTAGAGGAGCGTCTTGGTGTCACGGTTGAGGAAGTCAGTATCCCAGGTCTCGCCGACGTGATCTTTGGCGATTTCCGCTGCAAAATTCTTGACCATCTGCCTTGTAGGTGGTAAGTGACGCTCAGTAAGCTCCTCTATGTAATCGCAGAGGTCACGCTCTTGTTGTGGTGACAGTTTGCGTCGTTGAAGGTCTGCCTCCGCACGCGGGACAGTAACGCGTCGGTCATTGCGCGACAACGTCGACCTCGAGAATCCCGTCTGATCAGCATTTTCCTGGTAGCGAATCTGTCCGTCTGAGCTCGCTGCACGTGCATTTTTAAGCGCATCAAAAACAGTTAACATTTCGTGGAGTTATGGTGTTGAGGAGAAAAGTGCGTTTTGGTGCTCGCGTGCATTGACCCGCTGGTCTCGGCATGCCCTGATCGTTGGTTGACTCCGATCGTTGGGTGCACGGACACGGTAGCGGTTGATGCCAAGCACACTGACACGCCTTTGATAAAGAGTAGCTCTGATGAAGAGTAGGACAACACCCAGGTTTAGCCTGCATTATACAATAAATCCACTAGTCAATCAAACGCGGCGATAAGAGCGGAGCAATGTGAGTGCTAGTGCAAGCCGACAACATGACTGTGGGCAACATTCGACACCACCAGACGACTGGCCCTATTATGCGCCTTACGTGCAGCTTTAGTCCGTGACTGTACATTGAAGTGCAGCATCTTCTTAATAGCTTCGCCTTGCCGTCGTAATGTCATGGTAAGGCGTGTCCGATGGCGTTACATCAATGGCACAGGCGACGGTAATCAGAAAGCAGAAAGCAGAAAGAAATTGAACCACTACTGTCCAGTGATCCGCCTAGCTTCCCATGCTCTAGCATGTGACAGCAATAGGGTCTTTACTGTGCCCTAGCTTTGTTCACGCCGAATCTCATCTCTAGGTCGACGTAGACCATAGTAAGAAGGGAGTAAATTTCATCATCAACGTCTCCCTTCACAGGCCAACCTTGAAAGGAAACTGCTTAATGCAACTTGGGGTAATTCTTCTTGAAACTCTGCCTCGCCGAAATGTTAGCCCACCACCTCTTTGTCTTCTCGCCAAATTCGAAACCAGGGACAGATTTCTCGATACGGGCCCTGAGAGGCTCAAAGTCGCCAATTTCTTCCCCACCAGCAGCCCACATCGCATGAGCCAGCCACGGCGCGATGTGTAAATCCGCAGCCGTGACTTTGTCACCAGCTGCGAAGGGCAGTACCAGCATGGAATCAAGTTCTCTGAGCCCTGCAGCGTAATCTTTGTACCCTTGCTCTGTACCTGCGAAAAACTCTTCGTGTTCAGGCCCGACGTTGGAAGCGGTGTAGAGATCATTGAGGTATCCGTTCGTAGGCATGCGCGTGGCATATAATGGCACGTCTGGGTTTAGGGGACCATACTTGACCAGTCTCTGCTGTCGGTTGCCAAGGAAAGTTTTTATCCCGCCTGCTTTGTTCGCTTCTAATTCTTGCCAGTCACGAGCTTGTAGGAGGACAAGGTTCGTGGAAAGTTTGTCCTGATGAACGTGCGAAATAAGTTTGTTGATCTTGGCCAGCTGCTGGGGGTCTGTCGGGAATAAGGAGGCGCCGTTGGATCGACTAGCGTCTACGTATTTCACGATGTCCGCGCTTTCGATGAGGGGTTTAGCGAGAGAAGCCGAGGTTAGTGATGGAATAGTGCCATTGGGATTTATCTTGACGTATGCAGGAGAGAAGTTCTCGCCATCAACTACACCCATTGATTAGAGATTCAGTCCGCATATGTTCATGGAAGATTCACTTACGGAGCCCAACCTGTTTGGATTCGTATTCGGAACGCTCGTATCCTTTCTCGTCAATTGCAAGGTGAGCAACATAAGCCCACTGGGAAGCGGAGTCCGTGTAGAGAGTGAACTATTTGTTGTCAGTCGGGATTAGGGATAGAGCCTTCAGACTGTGTCCATACCTTGGGAGTGGCCATGATGTAGCTCAGTTGAACTGCTGATGAATACTCTAAGATACAGCAGCGGAGCAGGTAGAAGTAACTGCTGAGGACTTGTACTGGTGCTGGTATGCTGAGTTCAGAGCTACAGTGCCGGAAAATAGACAAGTAATATACCGCTTGCTTATTAACTAATGAAGTTGTCTAGGACTGTGATATAGTAAGCTTTCCGGAATGCTCGGATGAAGTGTACAACAGGGGACTGAATTCCTTGTTTGCCACATTTTCTAGTTCCTTTGATTGAGCATAGATGAGGCGCACTTACCCTGCAACCCTGCATCATCGCCGCTGATCGCGCGCTTGGCTGGCCTGGCACCGGGCTTAACCAGTGTGTCCATCAACCAAGTAAGTTACTTGGTTGACACCAGGGCTCCAAGTAACTGTGGACCCTTGAGACCGACCGGTTCAACCGGCTGCTTTAACGTAAGCAGATTGTCTTGAGATGATTGGCCAGTGTCACGCGTCGGTGCTTAAGGTTCCAACTAATTTAGTCTGGCCCACTGTAGTGCTCTAGCGCCCTGATGTCAAGCAAGTAACTTACTTGGTTGATGGACACACTGGTTACGCGATGGTGGGCGTCACGCGCACAGACTCGGTACAGTAATGTCCCGCAACGGTCGCTGACCAATGCGGCAAGGCGCGAAAGGGGCGAACCGAGGCCCACCACATTCCACCATGCTTGCTCGTCATCATCTTCTGACGCGCATGTTTTACCAATTTACGCGTTTGCTTAGTGAGGAACTGCATGCTGCAGCTCCCGCTTACAAGGAACAACTAGGATTACTAAGGTCTAGTCCATGCTTTCTGACTGTTACGTTTTGGGTGCTCTTGCGCCATTCTATAAGTAGACACTGCATCCCACCCAGCAGTCTACATGCGCAAAAGATTCGTTTGTAGGCTGCGATCTCATCCAGAGAGTCTCCGATACACTGCCCCTTCATTTACCAAGCAAACCTTGCTCGCACGTTCCTACTATACGCCCCACGTCAGGAATAACCGTGGCGTCTTGGTGATTGTCCTACTTCACATCCCATTCTCCTATGTCAAGCCCAACCATGGCGTCGGCTACTAAGGAGTGCGACTACTTGGTGCTAGGCATCGGTAGCGGCGGTATCGCTTCTGGTCGACGAGCAGCTAAACACGGTGCCAAAGTCATTGCGGTCGAATCGAATCGATATGGCGGTACTTGCGTAAACGTCGGTTGTGTGCCAAAAAAGGTGACCTGGAATGCGGCAGCTATTGCGGAAACCTTCAAGGATGCGAAGGCGTATGGCTTCCAAGTGGGCGAACAGCCCTCCTTCGACTGGCCGTACTTCAAGAAGAAACGAGATGCATACGTGATGCGTCTAAACGGCATCTACGAAAACAACCTCAACAAGGACCACATCGAGCACCTGCGCGGCACGGCGAAATTTGTGGGCAAGGACGAGGTCGAGGTTGCGCTGCATGACGGAGGCATTCAGCGCGTCAAGGCGAGGCATATCCTCATTGCAACTGGTGGGCGACCGAAGGTTCCGGAAATACCTGGAAAGGAGCTATGCATCACTAGTGACGGCTTTTTCGACCTCGAGGAACAGCCCAAGAGCATCGCAACAAGCGGCGCAGGATATATTGGTGTCGAGATGACTGGCATGCTCCACGCTCTTGGCTCCAAGACGCACTTCTTTATCCGAAAAGACAAGCTCCTGCGAACCTTCGACCCGATGATCCAAGACGCCGTCACACAAGAATACGAGCGGCAGGGCATCAACCTGTACAAGGGCTCCCAGATTACCAAAGTCGAAGATATCGGCAACGGCCTGAAGCGCGTAACTTACCAAGAGATTGAAACCAAGAAAGAGTATACTGTCGAAGTCAAAGAGGTTCTCTTCGCAACCGGGCGTGACCCTGAAATCGAAGACCTACACATCAAAGACTTTGGTATAAAGCTCAACAAGAAAAACCACATCGTTACTGATGAGTACCAGAACACGTCTCTACCAAATATTTACGCCATCGGCGACGTCTGCGACCGCGGCTTCGAGCTCACGCCGGTCGCCATCGCCGCCGGTCGGCGCCTCTCCGACCGCCTCTTCGGCGATAACCCGGATGCGTATCTTGAATACTCCAATATCCCCTCCGTTGTCTTTGCACATCCTGAAATCGGATCCATTGGCCTGACTGAGCCCGAAGCCCGGGAGAAGTACGGCGACGACGTGAAGATTTACAAAACGGAGTTTAGCGGCATATACTTCGCCATGATGGATCCTGAGGACAAGCAGCAGACTGTATACAAGATCGTTTGCGCCGGCAAAGAGGAGAAGGTTGTGGGATTGCATATTCTCGGCCAGGCGAGTAGTGAGATTTTGCAAGGATTTGGCGTGGCGATTAAGATGGGTGCAACCAAGAAAGATTTGGATAATTGTGTGGTATGTGTCTCGTCCTCTTTCTTGTCTACGACCGGCCAAGACTTTAGCTCCACCTGCGCATACAAAATGCAGGAGGTGGCAATGGTTGCCGTTGTTAGCCACACGTGGCTTAGACTTCATTGCGGGGAAAGACTTCTTAATCTACTCTACCACATGGCTGACACCTCTATCTTTGTCTAGGCTATCCATCCGGTCTCCGCAGAGGAATTGGTACGTACACTTTCCAAGGGCCCAGGTGCCACACAGACTAACATTCTGCAGGTCACCATGACCTAGATGCTCATCGTCTACCTCAACCACTCGACACGGCGATCCATATTGATTAGATGGCTTGGGATTACTCTTGGTAGATCGCAATATTACAAATCCGTACGCTCTCAAAGCATATTACAGAGAGGTCCGGGAACCTTTGCCGACACCTCTAAGACCTCCGAGGTCAAGGATTTGAAGTTAAGATTTGAAGCTAGTGTTTTCCAGAGATTTGACTCTGTGGATCCACAAAAGTGCTGCGTATCGTGCCTTCTACGGTACCTTGGTGTACACGGTGACGCCCCTCGTCTTCTCGCGTCTGCATCACGACTTTGCTATGAGTAGATGCTCCACATTTTGTTCTAGTTCACCTTACCCCTGCCGCACCGTTCTCTCATCCACTCTAACTTGAGACGCGATCTTAAACAAAACCCTCCGACATTCGGCCATCAGTTATGCGCCACACTCGCCTGTCACGTGCCTTGGCCCTTCTGGATTGGTTGATTGATCGATCATATCCTACTCGGTTTCATCCGCATTCTTTCCGTAGTTATGCCCGGTTGGCTAATTTGGCTGACAGACGACACGGCACACACGCTCGTCCATGCCGCCTCACGTCACTCCTGAAAACAAGAGCCAGCTATTTCCAGAAGTCGGGTGTTTGGCTTCTATCTACCACTGTGCATATTTCGTCAGAAGAAGTGACGTATCTTGGATGTGTTTCTGTTCTTTGGATTGCTGTTCCCCATGTGTATGCCGTGGTTGAAGCCTTGTGTTTGTAGCTTTGGTTCAAGACCAGTGTGTCCAACAACCAAGTTACTTGATTTGCTTGCTTGACATTACTTGATTACGTAACAAGCAAGTAAAGTAAAGGCTCATTCAAGCAAGCACAAGTAAGGATTTTCACATTACTTGAAGTAACTTCAAGTTGCTTGACAGAATTGCTGTACCAGGCATGTCGAAGATGAGTTAGGTGACGCTAGCTAAGCGAACCAATTATGATTTCACCGGGTGGCACCCGGCAAAATCGTAATTGGCTGGAGTCGCACAGGGAGCCAGATGTGCCGGGAAAAATCTGACACCTCCAGTAGAATTTGGTAGCCTGGTAACTTTATTTACAAGGCTACCAAATTCTAAGCTTATATGTCTTCTCACCTGTTCTTTCAGCCTCGTGGAAGGTCTACACGTTCTTCTCTGCCTAAAACCCCCTCCGAGCCCCCTAGCTCTACCTCAGAGAGCCGCTTAGGAACCCCAAGTTCGGTTTCAACTCCAACCCATAAGGCCTCTACACCAACCACCCGTGAAAGAGAGCTGCCGACATCTACTCAATGCACTTTCCATATTGAATGGGACAAAATTCGCTATGAAAGAAAGCCACTGCCATCAATTCGATATCGTCAGCCTCACAAGCGTACCCTCAACTCTAAAGCCCAATCCTCGGCAATCTACAAACATGGCGCGCAGCTTACAACAGATGGAGATAACAAGTTCTAGCTCTGCAAGTACTGCCATATTGGTGGCCAGCATGATTCCGCGCTATTCAACAGTGGGGCTACTACTAGTATCATTTATCATCTAAAGCATCTGCACAAACTCGAAGCATTCGGCTACAAACCAGTGGCGTCAAATCCGTTCGATATGGCTAAGGGAACAACGAGCTCCATACCATACCTTGGAGGCCGGCGCTTGATGTTTAACGACTCTCAGTTCAAGAAAGAGTTTATTGACTGGGCTATTGATCTTGACCTTACTTTTCGACAAGCGACGCATCAACGCACCCGTAACATCTTTGCCAGCTGCCTAGAGGATATAGAAAAGGTTCTGCCAAAAAGCCCGTCAACTCTTAGCACCTGGATTGAAGAGATGTGGGACGGTGATGGTGGGAGGCGTACTTGGCTGAAAGAAAAGCTCCATCTTACCAAAAGCAAGATCCATATCTCAACTGATACCTGGACGTCTGAAGAAGGAACGAACTATGTGGCAGTTGTTGATCACTTCCTGGACGAGAAGCATAAGCTGCAAACAGCTCTTCTCGACCTCCAGCCTCTAAAGGGCCCTCACACTGGCGAGAACATTGCAAAGGTGCTGTCGACGGTTATCGAGTCGTACGATATACCTGCTACCGTTGGATTCTTCATGATGGACAACGCTAGCAATAACGACACATGTATTGAAGAGCTAGCAAAGCAGTATCCCACAGTCACGCAGCAGAGCCGCCTTCGATGCGTCGGCCATATCCTGAATCTCATTGTCAAAGCTCTCCTCTTTGGGCAGGGTGTCAGCAAGCTGGAGAAAGAGCTCTGTGGCGCATCCGACGATGAGCGATTTGAGATATGGAGGGAGCAGAGCTTTATCGGTAAGCTCCACAACTTCTGCGTGTGGATTAACCGGAGTGACCAGCGGCGGGAGCTTCTGAAACGGTATATCCTGCAGGCGTACAATCAAGGCAGCATCGAACAACTCTACACTAGGTTATTGGTCGACGGCGGCGTCCGCTGGAACTCTGTGTATGCCATGATCGAGAGAGCTCTCAAGCTCCGCCACGCAATTGATCTATTCTTTCTCCACTATTGTCATAGTGGTGAGGGATACGATATCCCACAGGATATAATTACTCTGCATGATTGGGTCAATTTAGAGCAGTTCTTCAATATCTTGAAACCATTTAAAGACCTGACCAAACGCATGGAAGGCCGGGCTAATAAAGCTGGCCTTGAAGGAGCACATGGCTCACTCTATGAGACACTGGAGTCTCTTGATATCCTCTTTAAAAAACTCCAGGAGGCTGGAAAGTTCGCAGACGATCACCCGGAGGAAGTTTCTGAATACTATTCATGCGCCATTGATACTGCCCGCACCAAGCTTGAAGAATACTACACCCTTACGGATGCTACGCCAGCGTACCGATGCGCCGTTGCCCTGCATCCTGCGAACAAATTTACCTATTTCGAGCTCGAATGGAGTCATGAGAAGAAATGGATCGCTGAGGCAAAGCGGGTAGTGCAGGATGTGTACGCACGCTACGAGGAAGCAGCTGTGGAAGTAGACATAGCTGAAGCAACACAAGAAGAGGATAATGAGGTTACTACTGATAGCGATACTGCGCTTGATCTTTTCCAGCAAGCTCGTAAGCGTCGTCAGCGGCTCGCCGCTACTTCAGCGTCTGTTACGCGAGGAAGGAAGCGTACAAAACTCACCTCTGAGCTTGATGAGTTTATGGCTAGGGCTAATAAGGCCGATCAAGATGTCGAGGATCCTCTGGAGTGGTGGGTTCACCATGCATCTGATTACCCTGTGCTCGCTAAGATGGCGTTTGATTTCTTCAGTTGTCCGGCAATGAGCTCTGAGTGTGAGCGCGTATTCTCACAAACGAAGAAGGTCATCACAGATGAACGAAATCGCCTCAATTCAGACACTGTGGTAGCGATCGAATGCCAAAGGCACCTTCTTCGAACCGGTATGCTTTCACAGGTCTATCATAGATTCAAAATCAGGAAACATCACTAAGCAATGTCAAGCAAGCAAGTAAAGTAAAGGATTCTCGTCAAGCAAGCAAGTAAAGTAAATGTTTTCATCAAGCAAGTAAAGTAGAGGGGTAGATTCTTACTTTACTTGCTTGTTGGACACACTGTTCAAGACTCGTAGAGGCGTGTTGCTTCGTGTGTTGCGACCGCAATACCTACAGTTTCCCTAGCGTTCAGCTTCCGTGTATGCTAGCTTGCCCTCGTGCCCTCGAGGCATAGAATGTGCTCTCTCATTCTCGGTGCTGTTCGGTGTTTTGTGGTGTGACCTGCCAATGAGCGCAGCAGCAGCAGCAGCTTTCCTCCGTGATATAGTCAGTGTTGCTAATAATATAAACAATACGTATATTGGCAATATGACACCCTAACAATATTATTGTATTGTGGGCAGGTAAGTATTGTATTACCCAATATAGAGCTGATTGATATTGTACCGTATTGCCAAGAACCCAATATACTGTCAGTGTTACAATACATCCCATATATCCCTCATCCTTCTACTGCGACGGCTACATTATCGTCACCTTCAAATTCTCGTAACCCAAACCATGACTTTAGGCACTCTAATGCTTCAATAACATCACTCCCAAGTCGATTTCGACGATCTGTAATGGTTATTTTTGCCCCAGAAAAGAGTCGTTCAGGTTCGGAAGACATTGCAGGAATTGATAGTATGTCCACAGCCATTTTGCTCAAGTTTGGATAGTTCTTTTGTTGTGTATCCTCTAGCCACCAGGCGAGTGCGCTTGTGAAACCGTAGACCTGCTCAGACTTACAATAACGCTCGTATTCGTCGATGAGACGCGTTGGTTGTAGAGGCCTGTTCCTCCAATTCAAGAACTCGTTCGTAGTCGTCGACGGCACCTCGGGTCGAGGAAGAGGCGGCTCAACAGGTCTGTATTCGTCCCAAAGTGTAAGGGGCTGCGCAAAGTATGCCGATGCCTGGTAACAGGATTGTATTCGATGAAGAAGAAAACCTATCTATGGTGCTGCGATATCTATATACGTTTAGCTTATCGTTCGCGTAGCATCTTGAAGCTTCTAGAATGCCGAGGAGGCTCCGAAGGTTCCACCGAGGATCACTATAGCATCCGGGCTCTAGCCCGTTACAACAAGTTACTGTCTACTTATCCTCAATGGCCATGGGAGTCACCTTACGATAGATCTCATTGAGTATTGCAACCCCAATAGGATACTCTTGATCATCTTTCCACCTCATTCAACTCACAGTTTACAGCCATTAGATACAATAATGTTCAAGCCTCTTTCGAGTAAATACTGGGCCCGAACTTTCGCAACACCTTCATCGCAGCCAAGGCCTAATACCTATCAAGAAAGGCGACTTTTTCCCGTTGTTTTGGATCTCATGGGCCACTTCATTCACGCAAGACAATGTACTAAGTTCAGTTAGGGCTACAGGCGTCGCGCCGCCCGATCCGGTGGTTATACTAAAACGCTTCATAGCCACCACCTCCGAAGGAGATGAGAATCCGAAATTCTGCGAGGACGGTGATAGAAATACCTAGAATCAACTCCGAAGGTTATTTGATGCTGCTGTGAAGAATACTGCGAAAGTTGACGCGCGGAGGTTGGGTTCTTCATTGGACTCGCTACAAGTTCAAATGAACTTCTCCACCACGAAAACGACGGTCTCCGCACCGCCATTTCGGCTAAACAGAAGTACAAGGAGAAGATCAAGATTCTGGATTTTCAACAGCGCGAGGAGCATCATGGTGGCGCGGTATTCTGGTCTCCTAGGAAATTGAGGGAAGCGCGGGTGCTCGAACAGGTAAAATAACGCGAAGAGGAAGCCGAACAACTCCAGAAAACAGAGGCAAGGGAGCTGAAAGCAGCAACAACTCTATATAAAAAGAAGATGGCTGAGAGAGCAAAGGCGGTACAACAACTTGCAAAGGAGGCGCGCGAGAAGGAGCGCACGGCGAAGGCTGAACGACTCGCTGCCGCGAGGGTGCAGAAACAGCAGGGAAAACAGGCCGCAACCACAGAAATATCTGGCGATAGGACAAAGACACCCAAGTGAACAGCCTCACAGCCTGCCCGACCAAAATCTACAAAGCGTCGTCGTGTTGTGGGCGAGAGTAGTGGTGCACCTGCCGCACTGGAGCCTTCAAGGGTCACCATGCGCGGCCGTTAGATCAAAGTTCCTCAAAAATTCAAATAGTTTAAATTCATCGCAAGCATCTGATTGCTACTATACCATGAGATCTCGTGATACCAACTATTGTGGGTGGCTCTATAGCCTCGTTTTCTTGGGGTCTTTATTTTTGTTGGGTGGCTCGCCCAGTGCGGTGGCTCGACATCTGTCAGTGCACGGTACCAGGTGCGACTTCTACAAGTGGGAGCGGTTCCCCATGACCCTCATTAACCTTGTAGAAGTCGTATGTCGGAACATGCCGCTGATCTGCCGCTGACCTGCCGCTGACCTGCCGCTGACCTGCCGCCGGCTTGCCGCTAACTTATGGGAGGCGGAGTCGAGCGGGGATCTCTCGGCGAACTATGGCTAGGCGAAATTCCATGGTTCAGCGTCATATGCGCTTTCGCTTACGTCGGCGCCAGCTAGTGGTGAGACCCCGCCATAGCGGGCAGTCTGCCCACAAGCGTGCCGCGCAGCTAAACTATGCCAGACGCGCATGGCAAAACAGACAAGCTCAACGCACCTATTGTGATACTGTTATAGACTACCAAGGGCTTCGATGCAGACAAAACTACACTGTCAATGCGATGCATCAACTCTGGTATAGGCGGATGCATCGTCCGCACCTATGCGCATCCTAATATAAGGTCTCAGGTGGCCCACTTTCGTACTGGTCTATCTCTACGACGTGCACGTTATCTTCAAGTCTCACGTCTGCGCTCGCACATCAACTTCGCGAATCAGACGTCCACGGTTGCTTCGGTTGAGCACTAGACAGGAGTATCAAACGAGCCTAGCGTCGTATGTCCCACGGTGCAGACACTATCCACCCTTCTGTCCTCACTCGACGGCCTTAAACATACAATACGCACCATGGATTTCCAGTCATTGATCGACGGAGTGTCTCAGGGACACTACACAACCTGGGCCACGAGCACTATATCGGAAATGCCGGCGTATCTTGCCGATGTTCCCAATTCAAGCGGATCGCCAGTATGTACTCTACAAAGCATGACAGCATTGACGCTTCCACCCTAACGTGACTAAGACCTCCTCTACAGACGACCAGTTCCCTGCAACCCTAGGTCACGGTTACTATTATCACATCGTTGATGACCAAACGCAGCTCGGATCACACTCTCAGCCAATGCCGTTTTCGGATCTTGACTCTGATCACGAGAGCCATTGCTACAACTCGCATCCAATACAACACTGCAAGTTAGCGTATATACCTAGTTCCGAGTCCACATTGACGGAGGCGACAAACATTATTTCAACAGTGGGTTTGTTCTCACAATGTCTGGCGGGATCTTGTACTAACGGATAGGCAGCGGCGACGAGCTCAGAACCGCGCAGCTCAGCGCGCCTTCCGCGAGCGCAAAGAGAAGTACGTCCGCCATCTCGAAGCTCAAGTGGCAGACCTGGCCGACAGTTACACTAAGCTCAAAGCATCATACTCTCAACTTGAGGCCGCACACGAGAAGCTCCGGACAGCCATCAGATTGTTGACGAAAGACGACGAGGCTGATCGACAGAATGTCCATGGTGAAACCACCAACTGAATGACTGGCTATCTGACTATCCACCCCAGATCTGTTGGAGGCGTTCAACAGCGAGGCCAAGGGGACTACGCCCACCAATACTGCTGTTCCATATTTGATTCGCTGAAATGTAATTGGATCGGGAGGTTGCTCTTTCACTTCCGTTTCTGATTGTACCACTTCTTGTTCGTGCTTTTTGTCAGGCACCAGGTTACTCCGGGCCCGTTCGGGCCGGTATGCCAAGCAATCGCAGTATATTAGCCTACCTTACCGCTGTTGTGGCTCGACAGCGGTTCGTCTCTAGTCTTACAAGGCAATATACCTCTACTTCCACTATCGCGGTGCATCTCGTATCTATAAAGACTCTATTGCTTGACATTCGAACCGCTCTCCCTACGATACCCATGTGCACCCGATTTTGTAACAATGAGCTCTAGAGCCGGTCTACCCAGCGCCTCAACTCGCAACTTAAGAAGGGCCAGCAAGCAACGGGTCGACCTAGTAGGGGACGTTACAGACCGCGACTCCCCGAGCCCTCGCATCCCAACACCAGACGTTGACGAGCAAGTTCGTCAGAAGGGACCACCTCAACCGCTAACGACCCAGGACGCCCTGTTCTAGGCCAGAACACACGGGCACTACCTGAACTGGCTTCTCAGGAAGAGTCCAACACCACTGTCGGGGGGGACGCCCCTAGACAGGATGAGCTGGAACGAGAGCTGGAGGAACTCAGGCGTTGGCGCCAGCGGGAGGAAAACCTCCGCGAGCTGACCAAGCTAAGGGAACTCAAACGCAAAGTGCAACAGGGGGACTTATCTGTCTTCGATGAGGTCTCTCTCCCCGCACCATCACCCGAAGGGTAGAGAGCGTCACTGATCTAGGCGCCCCTCGCCCTAAGGACCCGGAGACGTTTGCAACCGCGATCGCCAGCAGTATAACTGCTGGGCGCGCGACTGTGAGGCAATCTTTAGGGATCGCCCTCACGCTTCGCAACGGACACCCAAAGAGTAGACTTTGGGATTAGGTTTCTAGACGAAACCGTTAGATCCACCTGGGATACATATCGCGAAGACCACCTACGAGAGGACCCTTTGGGAGCCCACCTGGGCTCAGCTTAAGGCGGTGATGCTCGACTGCCTCGGGCCCTTGGAGATGCGACGTCTCCAGGCCCATAACGACCTAAAACGGCTCAGACAGAGGCATGATCAGGACCCGAACGTCCTTCTGGCTCGACTCAATACACTGTGGAGCGAGATGGAACACGTCTCCGAAGAACAGCGCCGCATGGATTTCATGGGCGCACTCCTCTCTGAGATACAGAAGGAACTCATGGGTAGGGACCCTGAGGATATCAACACAGTATCCAAGGTCAACACGGCGGCACGGTTTATTTGGAACAAGACAAAGCGAACCGCACCTACGGCGGAGCATCCAACCGCAAAAAGGGAGGGCCACGCCAGAACTACACATGAAGATCGTGCGGGGCCCCCTAAGACCCGGAAAAAGGCCAAGAAGGCCTTTGTGGGGAACTTCAAGAAGAAGCAACGCAAATCGGACCCTAGCGGCCCAAAAGACCCCAACATGACCTGTTGGGGATGCAATGAACCTGGACATTTCCAGAAAGATTGTCCCAAGCCGAAGGAGGCCCAAAAAGAGTCGGCCAATCCCAAGTCGGGGAAAGGCAGTGGGCAGAGGAGCTAGAGTCCTTCTTGTCTGCCCACATTGCACACTCCCCAGAGACTCGGGATCTAGGGCTCCTTCATGACGTGCTTTACCTAAAGCCAACCAAGTTACTGACAGCCAAGGTGGCTATCGGCCAATCAGGCTTTGTAGAAGCCTTGATTGATGGAGGTTCGCAGTTGAACCTTATTTCCGCCATGCTCGCAAAGGAGCATGACTTGACAGTCCGACCCTTGCCAAGATTGTTGGCAGAGGGGGTGGACGGTAAGGCGTTAGTCTATGGAACCACAGAGGTTGCCATTAGGATCAGAGACGCGCGCGGAAAGGAAGAAACCCAGAATGTACCGTTTATAGTGGCTGACATTCAGAAGTATCAGGTATACTTAGGGTTGCCCTGGATAGACATGTACTCGCCTAAGATCAGCTACTCTACACGGAGAATGATTTTTCGGGGTACAAAGTCCAAGGATAGGACTGTCTACAGGAAGATTGCGGTAGAGGAGGCTGAGGAGTTCGAAAAGACGATGCGCGATCCCACTGCGGATGTGTATGGCTGTCTTGTTGCCTCAGTGGTCCAAACCGGCCTAGAAGGGGCCGGAGGGGAGCAGTTACCCCCGCAATACTCCGAATTTGCCCAATTGGGATCGGAGGACGACTCAAGGGTCCTGGCGGACCATGGACCGCAGGATCTGGCTATCAACCTCGTGGAAGGGGCTAAGGTACCCCACCAGCCGTTGTATAACCTCTCCAAGACTGAGCTTGAGTTGTTGCGCAAGTATTTAGAGGAATACTTGGCGCGTGGCTGGATAAGGCACAGTAAGTCCCCAGCGGGGGCGCCTATCCTCTTTGCCAAAAAGAAAGACGGCACAATGCGTCTTTGTGTGGACTACCGGGGTCTTAACAGGATTACTGTCAAGAACCGGCACCCACTGCCCCTTATTAATGAGTCCTTAGAAAGGCTTGCAGGCGCAAAGTACTACACTAAGTTAGACGTCAAGGAGGCTTACCACAGGGTAAGAATCCAAGAAGGGGAGGAGTGGAAGACAGCTTTCCGTACAAGGTAATGGCCATTTTGAGTATACTGTGATGCCCTTCGGCCTCACGAACGCTCCTGCGCAGTTCCAGGCCTACATTTACCAAGTCCTTGCAGGATTAGTTGATGTGACCTGTATTGTATACTTAGACGACATCCTCATCTTCTCTAACACAGAAGAAGAGCATGTGAAGCATGTCAAGGAAGTCCTGCATCGACTGCGCGATGCTAAGCTGTTCTTGAAGCTTCTAAAGTGCGAGTGGCACACTCAGCGCACTGAGTACCTGGGCTACATAGTATCGCCAGAAGGATTGAAGTCGACGAGAAGAGGATTCAGACAATCCTGAATGGCCGGAACCGCGCACGGTGCGCGAAATCCGAGTATTCATTGGCTTTATGAACTACTACAGGCGGTTTATAGCCAACTTCTCCCGACTTGCCCTACCACTTACCAAACTGACCCAGAAGGGGCCAGAAGCGGCCAGAGGCGGCCACGCCCAGCGAAGGGAGGAAAGTCAGGTAGTAGACTTAGACAAAGAAGCCAAAGAGGCTTTTCAGAGGCTCAAGAACTCCTTTAAGGAAATCCCAATCCTAGCTCACTTTGAGCGCCACAGGAAAACGAAGGCAGAAGTTGACGCCTCGGGAGGGGCAATCGCTGGCATTTTGAGCCAATGGTACCCAGAAGAGGGCAAAATGGGCCGTTGGCGCCCAATCGACTTCTTTTCGCGCAAGCTCATCACGGCAGAGTACAACTACGGCACCCATGACCAAGAGCTACTGGCTATAGTCAAAAGCCTTGAGCATTGGCGCCAATACCTCGAAGGCATCCACTTCGACATCTACACAGACCACCAGAACCTAAAATGGTTCATGGAGACGAAGACTCTCAGCCACCGACAGGTGAGGTCTTACCTTGTACTGTCTGGGTTCGATTTCACCATTGTTCACCGACCAGGGGCCACTAACCCGGCCGACGGCCCATCAAGAAGGCCTGATTACATGGCAGAAGCCCAGAAACCAGCCCAGAAGTACAACGAAGCTTTTGTCCAGCCAATGAAGGACCTCCTTAAACACGGCAACCAACAGTCAGTACTGGTAGCTGCGGTGCGGACATCACGCCTTACGCTCTGAGGAACAAGACGTCCTCACAAACGCGTTAAAGGAGTTTCAACTGAAGGAACAGCGCCAAATCCCAGACCCCCGCAACATGGAGGAACGGGAGGAGACGGATGAGGACTCAGAGGCTACTTCAGACGAGTCAGAGCCTGAAGAGGCTCCTTCCGGCCCAAAGCGGGCCAGAACCACCCGGCGGACAACACAATACCCTAGAACCGCCGAGCAGAAGTCGCAGGCCATCCAGGAGTGCCATGATGGCCCGCTGGCAGGCCACTTTGGAGCGAGACGCACCTTAGAAAAGCTGCAGCGACACTACTCTTGGAGGGGCATGCGCAAAGACGTTGAGCAGTATTGCAAGGAGTGCCTCATTTGTAAAAGTCTACTCCAGCTAGACACCGTCCATATGGACTCCTTCATCCTCTCCCAATCCCCAACTACCCTTGGGAGGAGGTAACGATGGACTTTATCACGGAACTACCTCCTAGCAAAATATCTGGGGTAGTTTATGATGCTATCCTGGTAATCATGGATAGATTGACCAAGATGGCCCATTACTGCCAGCACGAGCCGATTGGGACGGCTCTGATCTAGCACAGGGCTGGATACGCGAGGTTATCCGATTACATGGAGTTCCAAAGCGAATTATATCGGATCGGGTCCATTGATGAACTCTAGACATTGGGACACGTTCCTTCACTATCTCAATGCTAGAAGGGTTTTGACGTCAGCCTTCCATCCACAGACGGATGGGCAAACGGAGCGTCAAAACCAAACACTGGAACAGTATCTTCGGTGCTTTTGTGCCCTAGAACAGGACGACTGGGCGTTGTGGATCTCAGTAGGAGAGTTCGCGTACAATGACAGTGTACACTCCACCACAGGGGTCACACCCTTCCAGGCTTACCACGGCAGGCACCCTCGTGGTGCAGACTGGCCCGAGATGGCCCTAGGGGAAGGAGAGAGCCCTATGGCAACCGAAGTCGCCCAAAGGGTGATCGAGCTGCAGCAAGAATGCCGCAGAAAGATTAAGGCAGCTAATGCCTACCAAGAGGAGTATGCCAACAAGCACCGTGCTCTAATCCCTTTTAGGGTGGGAGACCAGGTTTTAGTTTCCAATCGACATATCCGCTCTACAAGGCCAAAGAAAAAGCTAGACTGGAAGTTTCTAGGCCCAGGCACGATTACAGCCCAA